GCCCGGCCGTCCACACGAACGTAAGTGTGAGCTTCAGCGGGACCTTGAAATGGCCCGCGGTGCTTGTGTCGTCAACCGTTTTCCAAAAGACATCAATCCTGTGACGTGATTCCATTTTCCCTGGGTGCAAATCGCATTTCCTGACATTCAAACGCCGCTGCCGTCCATGCCCTAAAATGAAGACGGTCAACTGAGTGAACTTTCCTAAAAAGTGTTTGAATATTTTCATTGCACAAACCTCTGACCGCTCTCGTCGGTTCCTTGAGAAGGCGGCCAAGTATTGGTACATTTGGTTTGTTGATTAGAGAAATTTCTGCTTGCGTTTTTTTAAAAAAAAAAAATTTCCACATTTAGTTTCTGTTTACACGAAAGAAACACTTTTGGATATTCAGTATTTCAATTGCGCCATCGCCTTACTAGCCTGATGTTTGGCGTACCGTCACACCAACGAGAAATTGTTTATGCTTGTTGTATCCGCCGACTATTAAAAAGCCTCTCGGCATTAACTATCCCTCAGCGTGAATCTTAATCCTTCACGTTGTCTTCGTGTTGTCTTGACAAACATGACATTTGGACCGCATCTAGTCCGAGTTTTGGATCCACTTGCTCAAGATCGTCCACGTGACTCGCCAGGCTCCCGCCGGTCTCCCGGAACCCGGTCCGGCCTTCCTACAAGTATTTCTAATTCCACGTTCGGTTCTTTTGTTTTTGTTTCATCTGCTTCATCAGCTTTTCTTTCTTTTCTCTTCAACCAGGAAGCCGTACACACCGTCCGTTTCATTCTGCGGGACGAGTCTTCTGGCAACCTGCAGATCCCGCCGCACTTTGTGTCGGTGCGGACACGCGTCTCATGAACACGAACACGCACAACATACAGAAACGGACACACACACACGGACCAAAGTGCAAATACTGTCATTTATTTACCGTATTTTCCGCACTCTAAGGCGCACGGAAAAGTCTTCCATTTTCTGAAAAGCTCACGGTGCGCCTTGTGTATGGTCATTCCGGTAATATGTCGAACCCAAGATGGCTCCTTGCTGGAGACATGCTTCCAATGTTATAACTTGCCGTTGGTTCAGTGAACTGTGTCGCTGCTTTATTAAATCAGTTTTTGTTGCAGCTTCGAAAAAGGGAGAGCTGTGCTGTTGTTTTTTTTTTAAAACACACACTTTAAGAATGGTTTTCACAGTCTCAACAAATACAGTGACGTCTTTGTCCGTCTCCGTGCCTTCTCTTCTTCCGTTTGACCTGAGAGGCCTTCATGACCGCCTCTGAAAAACATAAATTAACGATTCCTTCAATCAAACTACAAAAACTGAAAATAATGTATCAAAACAGAAAATCACGCAAGGAAATCACAAAATAAATTCTATCTCCCCCCCCCCAACCCCCCCACATAATTTATTTTGTGATTTCCTCGTTTGTGAATACACAACAAAGGAATAAATAACAAACACTTCTGAGACAGTCCAGTCTCCTACATTTTACCTTTTTTCAGACGTGGTCTTGAACGCCTCTCAAGTTGAACAGAAGGAGCGTAGCTCCATCTAGTTGATGCATTGTAGTGCGCCTTTTAGTGCGGAAAATACGGTAGTTATCGTTATTTCGTTCGTTTTCGTTAACTATTGTACGTTTGACAGGCATAAAGACAGTTATACACTCACTTGTGATCCTTAATTGTGTGTGTGCGTGCGTGTGTGTGCGCGCTTGCAGACGTTCCCAGATCAAGCCATGTTGCTGCTCGTCAGCGGTGCCTTGAGTCACATCATCTTCCATCCTTCTCTGAGTCCGATCGTCCCGCTTCTCTGCACATTTCAGGTAGTGTCAAACGCCCCCGACCCCCACCCCCGGCGACAACGTGAGCATCGGCGGCTGACAGGATGGAGCCGTTTTGTCGCATTGATGCTCCCGTCGCACGACTTGTGTAGCATGTCAATCGTTCGCCCCTGCACACTAAGCAATGGAACCTTTGAACCAGTGTGTGTTTATGAGCGCCCCTTTATTTGCTTGGGCAATTTTTTATTTATTTATTTATTTTAATTGAATGTGTGACTCATGTTTGGACGGTAGAAGAGCGTGTGGGCTCTGCACTGGTTTTGGATGGACTTAGTACCTGTGGCCCAGTACCGCGTGGCCATTATGCAGAAGATCTATCGGGAGCTGGACAGCCGAGGAGGTGGGCCCCCCCCCACATCAACATCCACCTTGAGCTCGTTGCTTGATTTACGACTGACCTCTGACTCGGCCCTTCTCGCTTTCTCTCGTTCTCCCTTTCAGTGAAAAACGCTTCAAGATATCATCAGTCCAGGAGAGAAGTTCTCTGGCCTGCTGCCCTGAAATGTGACCAGTGAGTGCTTTCAACACTTCAGGCATCCGTTTTGGGCCTTTCACTTTCAACATCTTTTTGTCTGTGTGGAAGGAGGATTTGTTACATTGGCCACACCGTGTTTCATTCTGGGATTATTATTTTGTAGATATTTTTTTTCCTCCTTCTTCTACGTGTTCAAAATAAACTGCACTCAAAGTACGTACCTGTGGCAGTGACGGATAGTGTCTAGTGATGGGAAGCTTAAATGAGGAATTTGTGATCTTTTTTTTGACTCTTCGAGATGGTGCTCTTGGTTTAAATGCGAAGGAGGTGGATTGAAATTCCACTGCTTCTTGAAACCAAGAGCAAGAGCGCCACCTATCCATCCATCCATTTTCCGATCCGCTTTATCCTCACGAGGGTCGCGGAGTGTTCAATCGGCCTGCCATGCGTGTTTTTGGAATGTGGGAGAAAAGCCACGCAGGCATTTGGAAGCCGGAATGGAACCTTGCGCCTCTGCACTGTGAGGCCGACACACTAACCAGCCGACCGCCGAGAGGCGCCAAAAACTCACAAGTGCTTGAGTTGTCCGTCACTACTAGTGACTGACCCGCCTAACCATTGGGTGCTCTTCCACTCGATGGCACAAGTTGATCTGAATCGTCTGTTGTGTTACTTTTTTTTTTTTGAGGCTTTTGCAGCTCAAGGACTTCCTGCCCTTCCTGCTGTGCCTGGAGGGTCAAACGGACGAGGCGCTGAGGATGTTCTTCCCAGAGGAAGGCCTCGCCGCTCGGCCCACGCCGCTCACCTTCCCGCTTTACCTGCGCCTGCTCGGCTCCGCCGCCGCGCCCAAGCTGAGCGTCGCCCGCACGGGGGAGCTCTGCGGTCTTGCCGACACCTGGGCCTACATTAAAGGTGTGTGTGTGTGTGTGTGTGTGTGTGTGTGTGTGTGTGTGTGTGTGTGTGTGTGTGTGTGTGTGTGTGGCTGCCTCCTGCCCCCGACCGAACCCTTCCTTCTTTCCTTGCTTCCTTCAACATTGACTTGCGCTTGTCCAGGTGCGGTACCCTTGACGCGTTCAAAATTAGCGCACTTTGCACTCAAGCTCCTCCAAATGTACCCGGCCTGCTGCAGCAGCGTAAGTTCCCATTCGTTTTCCTCGACAGTGCTGCCTCGAAGTAAGAATTTCATTTGCTCCATGACCACACACTCTTATCTCCAATCCATTTATATTTTTTGATTGATTGATTTTAACATGAAACGCCAAACCGGTGCTTGTTGTGAAATGACTTGAGCTGAGTTCACTACAAGCATGGAGCGCACGGACCTCAAGTTTGTGTTCCATACTCCAAGACAAAAAAAAAATATGTCCCAAACGACGGCTATTATCTTGAGAAATCTCACTTTGGTTCGCTTGTACCTCAAGGCACCGCTATTTTCAGCACATCATCTCCAAAGCCGGCTTCGCTTTGTTTGACTGTGTGTGTGTGTGTGTGTGTGTGTGTGTGTGTGTGTGTGTGTGTGTGTGTGTGTTGTTCAGGGCCAGTGTTGGATCAGTTTGCTCAATATGGTCAATCGAACAGATTCACTCAAGAGCATTCCAGAACCAAGTACAGACTTCAAGCAAGTATGTTTTTTGTGTATCTTTGTTTCACAGTCTCTATTTTGTGTGTGTGTGTGTGTGTAAATGTTGCATTCTGTATTTTTATTTATTTATTTTTGCAAATATCTAATTTAGCTTTCGTGTGTGTGCGCGCGTGCGGCTGGTTTTTAGTGCGTTGTTTCCAAGCGCGCGAGTGATGTGCCGCTGCCGTTTCTTCTCTTCCCCAGGAAGCCGTCAGATTCGCGGATTCCGTCTTGCTCTCCTTCAGCCAGGGCCTCATCGCCGACTTCAAGATTCCGCCACAGTTTTTGCCGGTACCAGCATCACCGTAGCATCCGCATGACCGAAGCGCGCTGACTAACGCCCAGATGCCCATTCACCCCCCCGTAGCACTATGCAGATCACGCCGTCTTGCTGCTAGTCACCAAAGCTTTCAGGCAGAGCGTCCTCCATCCTGCTCTCACGCCCGTCGTCCCCGTTCTCTGCACTTTTGAGGTACTCCAATGCAATCGAGTCCCACATAGGAAAAGCTGTCCGGCCTTCAGTGAATCCGACGTGCTTCTGTAATCGAACACGATGCGCGATCTTCATTTTGTTTGTCAGAAGAGTCTGTGGGCTCTGCGCTGGTTCTGGGAATACTTGTCCAATGACGGCCGCAACGCCGCCATCATGGAGAAGATCCATCGAGAGCTGCGACAAACAACAGGTGGGTGCCATTGTCGCTTTGGCGTGCGTGCATGTGTGAATTTGCGTGTGGCGCATTTTCAGCGTGTTGTTGAGGTGCCGCCTTTTGCGTGTGTGTCGTCCGTCTGTTATCAGGAAACGGGCCCGTTTCTCCCCAGTTCATCCGTCATCTTCTGGATCCGTCCAGCAATGCCTGGCACCAGTAAGTCACGGAGCGTGACCGGCAGCCGGCACACACACACACACACACACACACACACACACAGAATATATCAGGACCGCCCTCATCTGAACTGTCAATCAAAAACATCCAAATGTGGACTGTATAAAACATTTTATGTTTGCAATCAGGTGAATACTTGACATGAATGTGCTGACATCTTTGCACCCTTTGTGCCTTTTTTTATTTTGGTCATGTTTTTCCACTCGTTTCACTTCAAGTTGAATATGCTGTATTAAAAGCGCGTTCAAATCACACACGCACATTGTTTCATTCAATGTAACACATGGGGGGGGGGCTTCTGCGTGTGTCTTTACCTAATAGTTATTTTTTCTTTTTTGCACGTGGTACAGTGTTAATGATTGTCTGGTGCTTTGAGTAGTGTCTGGTTTTGTGCTCATGTCCCCCCGGCCCCCTCCCCCGCCCCCTTCATGTATTTGGGGGATTTGGGAGGGTATTTCTGTACGTCGCGGAAACGCTCCACCCACTTGCCACCCTATGCAGCAGTAGTGTTCTTGTGCAGGCGCAGCGCCACGTAGGAGAAGCGCAACGCCGGCGGCCCGCGTGCGGCGTGCCGGCGCTTGATGAGGTCGGACAGGAAACGCATCACGGCCAGGTCGCCGGCGTCCGGCCCGTCGTCCTCTTCTCCTCGCCGGGCGAACGTAAACAGCAGCGCCCGATTCACCAGCGCCGTCAGGCCGCTCTGCATGTGCGGCAGGAAGGCGGCGGCGGGCACGGCCGAGCCCACCAACGAGCCCACCAGCGAACCCGAGTAAGACGGGCAGCGCAGCGTCCTCTGGTCCAAGTCGAGCACGCCCAGGTAGCGACTGTAGCGACTGAGCCAGTGAAGCGGGCCCGAGGACTGAGACCTGGTCGTGGGACGGGGTGGCGGAGGGAGACCGTGCCAAGAAGGACTTGAGTTCTCGTCGCATTCCGTTCACCGACGACAACGCGGACGTCGCCTTACCTGTGAAATCCAATCAGCCTCCACGCGAGCAGGTCGCCGAGCTGCAGCGGCGCGCGCAAACACGGCACGACGGCGCCGGCGGGAGCCGGCAGGAAGAGGGTCAAAGCGTCCACCGTCTTCCTCAGTTTGCCTTCGTCTCCCGAGAGCAGCACCAGAGGACGGCCGCTCAGCAGGCAAAAGACGACGTGCTGAGA